CATTAAACTGCATTTGAAATGCTTCATTGGAAGACAAAACTCTGCTTTGCCTCCCAGAAATGCATTAGTGGAAAATTTCTTGGTGCAAAACATTAGACATGTTCTTTCTTGTACCACAACAAAGATGAATTCATTATTTTGTGCAGCACATGGCATCAGGGTTGTAGTAAGAAGAAAAAAAATAGCAAAGATGCTGAATGGAATATGTATTTTTAATAAATACATGAGATAAATTAATTTGATCTCACAAACTGAGCACTGAATTGAGTGACCTAGGTCCACCTGGGAGAAGCTGCACCATTTACTGCTTGTAAGAACATGATGACCTCAAGGAAATTCACAACTGGCCTCAAACACCAACACTATTCCAGCCACATGATGTAAAACATGTTAAAACACTCCTATCAGTACTAAGAGATGGTCACATTAGAGCTGCAAAGGCCTTTGAAGGACTTCAGAACCCTCAGAATTAAACAAGATGTCAGTAAGCAGCATTGCATCTGTCCTGCTGAGGACTCTTTTGAAATCTAATAAACCTCATTCTTAACTGAAAAGGAAATTTACCTGCCAATAGGACACTATCCCCTAATTTTCACTATGAAGACAAGATGCAAACATTACCATGCCACACAAACAGCTGAATATGTTTCACTGCTTACTAATCACACACACATATAACAATGACACAACCTAGTTAAAAGATTCCAAAATCCAATTTCAACAAAATACGAAGTACACGGTAGCTCATTTCCCACTATATCTAATGAAATAAACATATCACCAATATTGTACTTCTCCCTACACAGATTTTTGCTTGTTTTTTTTCATGTGTATACTTCAGGCCATAAACCCAGTTATTGTCTTCAGATCCCTTTTTCATATTCTGTGTAAAACCAGTATTAGAGAATTGCTTCACAAAGCAAGTATGGACCAGACACCATCCAGAAATACAAATATCTCTATCTAATATTACTATTTGAACTTTGAACTTCTGGGCTGAAAAATACATTTGCACAAGCTATCGCATTGCATACATTACTTACTAATATTGTGTCCCTCCTTCCCAAAAAAGATTTACAATATTTTACTTTCTGTGAAGGGAAAGCATTACTTACTAATACTGTGTCCCTCCTTCCCAAAAAAGATACACAATATTTTACTTTCTGTGAAGGGAAAAAGACATGCTGATTCTGCCCCTCAATTCAGAACTAAGGATTTCTAATCTTTAATCCATGCTTATTAAAAAAATCAGCTATTTAAGAAGTCAAAGCATTCTCAGCAATGATCTTTCACAGATCAGATTTTGAGTTTAATCTGCAATGAATCTTGACTATAAGGCTTCTAGTGTTCTATTTTTGCAACTTTATCCTTCTGATATGAATTATACTTTCACACTTTTGGAGATTAAAGTTCCAATGTTTATATTAGCAGCAGTGTTTAGGGTAAAGCTAGTTTTAAAAACACTAAGCTGTGAATCTATCACATTTAGACTCTTTAACTGTAAAAAAAAAATACCAAACATACACTACTATTTCAATAGCTGAGAAAGTAATTTTTACTTCTATTAAAATACATACAAAAGTACTTCTATTAAAAACATTGGTCAGACTACATCATTCTTCTCAAGAATTCACACAAAGACTTAATTTATGCTTATGAATATACATATGAATGGTTCATTTGTCATTTAAGTCAATACTGCAAATCACATGCTTAAAATTAAGCACACGCATAAAAGTTTTCGTGACATTTCCTACACAAGGATAAAATGTTATATAATTATCACTCCACATACTCATTCTTTGCAAAAGCTGACACCAATTTGACCACTTCTCAAGCGCATTTAAGCAGAATAATGTTGTTCTACAGTCAAATGCAAGCTCTACACCAATTTTTTTCCTGGCTTTATAGCTGCAGATGTATTCACAGGTTCGTTCTCTTAATTGCTTCTATTATCTGCAGCTTAATCCAAAGAAAGGTTATCTAAAACCTGTCCCCTTAAGACTTAGTAGATGAAGTAACTCAAGAGGCTCTCTGCAGATGGACAGCCTGAAGGCTAAGTGCACAGCATAAGGACAGTTATATTTTCTTATGATTTCCAATTTGTTCTTCACTTGTACAGTATCTGCATGTGTTGCTCATGACTTTCATTTCCCAGGAATTTCTGTGCCTCATCATCCATTAATCATTTTCCCTTCTAACCTTCTTTCTTATTCAGCACAAAACAAATCTCAAAGAGGAAACTGTCACCTGTCACTGCCAAAACTTTCAACCTAACTTCAAACTTCAAATGAAAAGCCACGAACAAACTTATTCCTTTTAGGGTACTTCAGCTAGATGGGTTCCTCCATCAATGAGCTTTACCAGATGAAGACAAGAGATATTTTAATCCAGTACCCTCATATTGTTTTGTTTATGCCATCCTTCAACATGCACTGCTTCTCACCAGACTTAAATGATGTTTCTTTCTGGGTTGTCTCAGCAAAAGTTGTATTTGACTCTAACAGGCATAAAAAGTACAACGCATCAATTTGACTACGCTATGCCTCCTGCATTCATTATTCTTTACTAAAATAGTCAAAGATACACATGACAGAACGTGATGTTGACAAGTTGCAACCCAAAATAATTGTAATTTCTGCTGATATCAAACTCCACCAATATTTAGCCACTGCAGGTACTGGTTATTGATTCACAACAAATGTCTGCTTCCTAACCTAGTTCCCATGCTTCAGTACCACAACATGCAATGCTGGTAGCAGTAAACTAAACCTCTAAAGGACAAAGCAGTCTGGGCAGTCAACCTTATCTATTTTTCCTTTAAAAATAAAAAGGCACATCAAGATTTAAATGTTATTTCTCAGCCAGAAGAGCAACATGGTTCTAGGATTCTTCAGAAATTTACTGCCAGTGTTCTGGAAAAACTCTTAGAATCAATCCAATGGTGCATGCCTGAAATAACTGATCTCTTACAAGTGCTGCCCTCTGGATAGGATTTTCTGTCTCTCAAGTGCAATCTGATGAGTAGTAGTACTCAGATAATGCAAAATAAATGCCAAGAGTTTACCAAAGACATTCATTTCTTTAAAAGTTAACTCCACCAAGTTACAGCAGGACTCAGAACGACTGTGCTGACAAAATACAAATCAAAAGCTCACACTGTACATACATTAGTGTGCAATATATTACTCATTTTTATTTATTTATTTAAAACATATATAATGTCAGACGCAATTCTGTAAGAAGTCTTCTGCAACAACTCATCTAATAAAGGGACTTAAGCATAATGCAGATGTTCTACATTTCTGTTTGCTTTCGAAAGTATTATGGAGACCAAATACTTCATTCAGTAAGACCATCCCAACAACTCAAGGACCTGTTGTGTGCAAGTAAATGGACGAGGTAGGTGGAGGGGAGTGTAACCATATTTTAGGCATTGGTTACACACAGCTTTTAAACATCTATGCAATTCAATTACTTTTGGTGACTTCAGTGGTACTTAGACTTCAATAAAAATTGATTTTAACCTATCTTTGTCAAGATCACGTAAATGCTAGCATCAGACTTCAACAGCAAGTAAAACCAGCAGTATACTCAAAAGGTTTGTAAATGCTAGTATCAGACTTCAACAGCATGTAAAACCAGCAGTATACTCAAAAGGTTCTCAAAGTTAAATTACTTGACCTTCTAAGATTCTACATGAGACAGCTGTATTTGAAGATCAGGACCTATAAGGACTATTCTGCAAGCACATTACACTTGACTGCAACATACACCACCAAATGGCAAGAACTCTTGGCAAACACTTAGAAGAAGTATTCTTATCCTCTTCTGCATTATTTATTTCACATTCTTGATGTGTTCCCCTCTGACTCTATTAATTTTCAGAGTTACAGGGTGCTCATTTTTTTCCTTAATGACTGCAGTCATCACAACACAAAGAACAATGTATAGATCAGGTTTATTTTGCTAGAGGGAACAAAGTGACGATACGTGTTCCAAAACATGTCAAAGGTACGTGAGTAAGAAAGGTGTGGTCTGTTTCAGCTAGTTACAACATTTAGACTTTCAGAGCCAAGGCAGCTGCAATGCTAGTGGCACAACCAGCATTCCTACTTTTTGAAAAGTGCTTAGCTCTGCCAGGCTGTAATGTGGTGTACAGAGTTGCCATCCTGTTTAATGTTTAACTCCAACTACTCTCAGGTGTCCACATCTAGAAATATTTAATAATCCACAGCTTACTTTTAATCCAAATAATATCTGCATAACAAACCTCCAGTAATTAAACTACACAAGAAACATAAAGGACAGAAATGTAATTACTGTAAAAATGACACTAAAAATATCACACAGTTACACTGAAAACCATTGAGTATTTTATACAGACACATAATGGGTCTCCAGAGAAAATGTTCACCCACTTGAGTACACAGTCTATAAGCAAGCATTTAATTTTCTTAAGGGCTGCTGCCATGATTCCACAAAAGTATCTACTATAAGCTAACAGGCAGAATAAAATCACTTTGAAATTCTACATAAAACTGCAACTGGTTTATGCCTTGCAGAAGAGCAATTCATACAGTTAAGCACTGAGCACCACTACAGTTAAGACCTGAGAATACCCACAACTTGGAGGATCAGAACCTAAGCTTATAAGCAACTGCCTGCTTTTCATCACTGGGTTATTTCACTTAAAACTGCAGAGTACAGTAGGGTGGGTCATGTTAACTGAAAGCCCAGAGGCATTTTGTTGTTCAAATAGAACTGAAGCATTGCTTAAAAAAACAAGGAACAAAAAAAAAAAAAAAAATAGAGTTCAACCATCTGACCTTATCTTTGAAGTCACAGAGCAATTGCTTTAGACCTTCATGACTTCAGCAATGCAGAAAGTTCTCAACATTGTGTACATTACAATAGCGTTCATAATACAACTTGATAAAGTAACAGCTTTCTTGCTCTTTTTATTTAATGTTTAACTATTAAAAAGTCACAACACAAACCTGGGTCCACGTGTCTAGAGTTCCTTCTAATTCCATTCGTTCGTTTCTGCATAGCAAAAATACAAATCAAGGATATGAATAAACATGTCTTCATGTAGGCACATTGCACTCCTTTCATTCCCACAATCTACTACGCAAAGCTGGTTTTCTAAAGTTATTTCCCCCAACCCCCAACACAATTATCTTTATCTTGTAGAAAGATCACACTTTGAAAAATATTCTTATTCATGTCGACAGTTTTTTCATATATTCTGTTTTTTCTGATACTAGACTCAAAAGATTCTTAATCCATAGAAGGTTTGTTCATACATCAACACTTCCTAATACCCAGAGCAAATGCATTTTTTAATCACTTATGAATACTATAGCAGAAAAATATGCAGTTTGGCATTATCTGCCCCAGATAAATGTCCACCAACACAAAAGCTGAAGCCACTTGCATTGCCTTAATAAAGTAGAAACTTTTACCATTCCTAATTTATACTGAAGCTATCTAGAATTCCCTATGGAATACTTAATTTTCCTATTTTCTGGGCAAGTACTTAAGTATGTTTAAGAACATGGCTCTCTCTCAAATTGGAAGAACCAGAGCTCTGTGAAATCACAAACTCTCTGACAAGACTCAGATTATTTGCATTTCTTTTCTATATTTTATACAGCAAGACACTTGATATGGATCTCTGGAAATTTCAATGTGAAATAATGCATATCTGTGAACAACTTATCTGCTTTTGCAAACTTGTTTTAACTGGTAACTTGCATGACGGTTCATGCATTTATTTATTTTTTAATCAAACCAAGCAGAGAAAAGCATGTTGCATAACAAAGGGAACAATTAGGTTGCTCTGATTTACTTGCAGTTGATATAAGCTGATGCAGGACACACACCAAGGCAAGCCAGAAAGCAGTAACCTGAGGCATAACCAAATTACCAAGCCCTGTAGCAAGCAAGCAAAATGAAAAGCTTGGTTTGAAAACAGCTTTCAAACTCTTGAGTCCTTGGACATATTCTCTCTGCACCTCACAACTCTAATTAAAGAAAGGATGCAAGTTCTGTTTCATCTGTAGTGGCAAGAAGAGAAATTTAAAACTGCTGCCACAATGGAGGCAACAGTCCTGAATAAAAGCAAAAGGCTCAATTATATCCTATGCTGGTTTTCCTAGATGGAAGCTGTATTGCTGATATGGATTGATGCAGTGTGGTGAGTAAGCACAGATTTGCACGAGAGGGAAAGGGGCAGGAGGGGAAATCAAAGTACTAAGGGAAATAGAGAAATTCTAAACTGAAACAAAAGCAATGCACCTCACTTAGGCGAGTCTGGCAGCTTTGTCCACAAGGCCCAGCATGTGATCCGTTCGCAGATCCCCAGCTGCACGACGGGGAAAGCATCAGCCAGTGGACCACACTGGGATCCACATATTTTGGAGGGCCATTACTTAGCAGATCTTTCGTGGCAAAAAGGCAAGAGGCCAGGCAGCACTTGGCAGGAGGATGGCTCAGGGTGCAGTGAGGAGAGCACTGTCTGGGCAGAGGCTGTGGCAGCACACCCTTCTCCTCAGCCAGAGCTCCCTCAGCCACTC